TCAATGCGATGGGCCCAGGCCCGGTCCGACGTCTATTCATTCTGGACTCGGAGTGGTGCCAGTCTTTCATTTGTTTTGGGGCCCAAGTTGGGCCCAGAAGCGTCAGCAAGTACATCCCATCAGACGTTTGGTAATTCCACAGATGAGCCTGACATTTGGCTAGGAGAGGCCCCTGGGGCGACCCCATGCCTAGCGAACATCATACAAAGGATTGCTGGCATGTTGAAGAGGTTCGCGACTTGTCGGCTGAGCTGGGCCGAGAAGGCGTTCTCTGGGGCGCATGGGGCCCAACGCGGGTCACTTTGGAACGAACATTGGTTTGACATGTGTTTTGGGACCGAGGTAATTAGAAGGCCAGCTTGTTTCGGACGCCGTCTTCGATCCGTGCTGGGACTCATAAGTGGGATGGTGTGCAGCTGAGTGGCGGAATGGCCACTTAATCTAGCATGAGCTCGCAATCTTCTAGCACAAGTCTGCATTTCCACGACACGGGGGGCTCAGTGCTCCTGTCACTGCAGCTGGAAAAGGTCTAGTCCAGACGCAAGTCGCTGAGTGTAGGACCGGGAAGCGGGAGCAGCAAATGAAAGGACAGTGCGTTGAACGCTGTTCAGAAGTCGGCCCTGAGCCTCCACCGGCTCTACCTCGAGATTGTTCTCGGTATCCTCATCTTCGAAAGCGCGAGTGAAGGGAGGTCGCTCGCGGTCGTGCTCCATCGGGTCCAGCACGTCCTTCTTCATGACCTTCCTCCTGTCGGTGGACGTGAAGCTCAGATCATGCACGAGGGCCCTTTTCTGCTTCATGTAGGAATCCAGGGTGACCTGTAGGGCCGGCGTCTCCAGCTTCGTCAAACCGCCGGTGATCATAGTCGCCGAATGCACCCACCTCAGGGCTGTGTGTGCTGCGCTCATGCTCTGTCTCTAGGCCAGGGCGCTGAGCGCTGGTCATTGCGTCCATATTCAGAGGAGCAGTTTCTTAATACGCTGTCGCACATGGCCTTCCAGTCCGTGGCGAGGGTGCCGGGGATCTCCTTGATGCAATTGCCGATTTCTTGGTGTGTGACCAGGCGTCCGTAGGTCATCTCGTGCCAGGCCAATCTCGCATACTATTGAGCCTCGTTCGCCATGGTGCCCATCCGGATCGTGGCATTCAGTGGGCTCCTTGCCACTTTTGATAGTTTTCGTGAGGCTCCTTCACTAACTTACAGGTGGGCCAACTGGCCGTCCACGATCTTTCGTTCGGCCATTGCCGTGATCATTCCTCTTTGAGATTCTTCTGACTGTGACGCATTCCATTTTGCATAATGCCTCGTGACAAGCACTGTGTCGTCTATGGGCTTGAAGGAGATGGCGATCCATGCGGTCTCGCGCGCAGTGTGCACCATCGTGCTGATCCTTTTGATAGTGGCTATCGTCCTAGCAGGTACTTCTCCTCCCAGGATGCTCGTCTCTCTGGCGAGCCGTGCCATGACTTGCGGTGCCGGAAACCTTGTGCTTCCTAGGGTTCCTCTCCACGTGGATTTAATTAAGGCTATCGGACAGGGGAGCTTCTTCTCGGAGCTTCTGCTCGTCCCGAGTCAGTTCGATGTACTGAACCTTTTGCGCCGCCTTCGCCGGGCTCTGGGTGATCGTGAAGTCTGCCAACTACACGTGCTCTGATCCGCACTATGAGAAGCAACTTGTCTCTTGGAGTCCCACGGGCACAGCGTCGCGATGTCGTGCACTTTCTTTCTTCTTGCGGGTAAGCTCGGGATCCCGATCGCGAAAACATCGACGCGAAACAGGCGTCTGGGCGTCGCCCTTGCCGTCGTACTTGATCCAACAGGTAGAGGTTCAAGGTCGTCGGCGCATCGCCACCCCCGTGACCCCGTTGGGGGGGGGGCCGACGAACCGCCGGGGAGGACAGCTGCCGCCAGAGCAAGCTGGCGTCCAGCTGAAATCCCAGCAGGGGCAGCGAATTGCAGCCCCAGCCGCGGACGCGCGCGCCCAGCTGCGACGCTGGGATGCAGCGGATCAAGTGACCGCGGCCGTGCCCGCCCGCGCCCCTGACAGACGCAAAAAAGCGCCGACCGCGAACGGCGCCGCGAGTGGGGCGGGCAGGCCGGCGCTCGACCTCGCGCCGCGAGATGCCCCGGAGGTGCAGCCCGGACAGGCGGCCAAAAGTCCCCCCGCCCGAGGCGGTGGGGATGTATAGCAGTTTGCCAGAAGACAGGCAGCGCGGCGCTGCGCGGCGCGAGGCTGAAGCGAGCAACCGCAGGGCGAGACTTGAGGAGCGCGCCAATGCGAGAAGCGGGCCGCGGCCAAGCTGGCCCGCGACGCATTTCGGGGCGCAGGCAGAGTGGCGGCAAGGCCGATGCCGGCCCCAGAGGACAGACGGACAAAAATGCGCAACAGAAAAAGCCCAGAGGACAGACGCGCGGAGCGCGATGCAGCCGAAAGCGCGGCCAAGCACCGTGGGGCCTTCCTCTGAATACCAGAGGTTCAGGCAACTCCTGCGAGGCGGGCCGCGGCCAAGTCGGCCCGCGCCCCTGCCGGGGCGCGGGCGGCGAGGCGATCGGGCCAACTGGCGCCGGGGCCAAGGTTCTGGCCGAAAAAGGCGACGCAAGATGGCGCGAGGAGTTTTCCTCGCGCAGCCGAGTGGAGCGCAAGATGCCAGTGGCTAGGACAGAAACATGGGTGGTTTAGGCAGGGCGAAACGAGGCCGAGCACCAGGGGCCCCCCCGAGGCGCGGGCCAGCAGAGCGGCCGAGAGGTCTTCGCCGCCCAAGGCGACGAGGCGCCTATGCGGCAAGGCCCGCCGAAGGCGACGTGGGATAGGCCGTGGGGCGACGGCGGGGCGCGCGGAATATGCCCGCCACTCTGGTGGCCGCCGCGCTGGGCGGGGGCGAGGGCAGAGCGCGGCGACGAGCGATGTCGCGGCGTCGCAACAGGCTCCGGCGAGGACATGCAGCCGCGCGCAAGGGGGACTGCGTGAGGGAGGGCGCAGAGCAGGGCGGAGCGAGGGGGGCGCCCCCGCCAGCTGCGCCGCGCCAAGCATGGGTTAGGGTGGCCCTTGAATCGTTGGTTCTGCAGAGCATGGGCGGGGGCAGGGCGGGGCGTCAGACCAGCTCGCGCCGCCGTTCGCAGTGCGATGTCGCCCTCGAACGTCCCGTCGGCCTCGCCCCCCCTCCTCCGGGAGATCTTCGCCGGCCGAACTTGTGCGGGGGGCGCGGGCGAAAGTGAAGTGGGCCGCGTCAGAGATGGCGGTCGCCCTCCTCCGAGTTGCGCGCGTCGCGCAACGGTGTGCGTTGTCCAGGGGCCCATGCTTCATTGGGCATCCTCGCGATGGCTTGGCAACTGTCGCATCCTGTCGCGTTGGCCAGGGGTCGCAGTCCGCGCGTGGCCTCGCCAAAGTCCTGCGAGCAGCTTCGAAGAGGGGCCTATTTCACCTGATGTGCGATACCTTCTTGGCAATGACACGCCGCCAGACGCCGCGGAGGGAATTGGCGCGAGAGGGGGGGCAGGCCCATCGAGGGCGCCAGCATGCAAAGCACGTGCTAGTACCGCCAAAGCAGGCCCCGCAAACTGGCGCCCTTTGCCACGGCGGCCACTGTTCGGATGGGATGAGATCAATAGCGCAACAGCTGCGTACCTGCCTGGAAAGATGGGTGGCGTCAGGTTGGCAGATTCGTAGGATTGCGCCCGCGCGGTCTTTGAAAGTCTCAGAGCCGCGGGGCACGCGCGGTCGCTTATGCCAGCGATCGTGATCGGCCGCCTTCGAGGCTTAGAGGACAGGGGGGGCCACTGTAAAGAGTGCAAGCTCCGCGCCTTGCTGCGCTTGCTGCAGGGCTACCAGCGACGGTCGCGCTCGGCCTAAAGCGGCCGGTATGGCGAGGGATCCGATCCTTGTCGCGACTCCCCCGCCGCCAGGGAAAGGCCGCCCGAATCGTGGAATTGGCGCAAAATCCCCAGTAGTCCGCATGCGGATGATGGGCATTGATGAAACCCGTAGCTGCTCAGAGCTGAGTAGCCGAGGGCCCTTGACCGCCATGGCAAATATGTCCGATCGGCGGTGGGTGTATGCCCGGCGGTCCCTCGTAGATTTCCAGTTGTGCGTGGCCCGCTCCGCGCTGGAACTCCGTTGAAAATGCCGAATGAACGCAGCAAGCCTCGACTGGGTGTTCTGGTCGTTTGGTGCTGGTTCCCACGTGGGCCAAGGCTGTGCGCGCTCTTGCACGCGCGCGCGCGTTGGCAGCTTCCGTTCCTTCTTCTTCGTAACAAGAGTCTTAGCCTCGCCGTCCCAGGTCGGGATCGTCTGGGAGTTTACGATCTAGCTCGTGCGCGTTAGCGCCACTAAAGCAGCTTAGCACTAAAACCAAGCTCCGCACTACCCAGGTCGTCCCGAATCGATGAGGTACATCGTAGCTGACCTTGACCTTGGTGGAACGTGATATGGACAAATCTCACTTGCCAAAGCTAGGGGTGGGCTGGTTGGCCGGCCGCAGCAATACGTTGTATGTAAGCCGCGCGCAAACAAATTGAACATTGAAGATGATTACGAAAATCCACCACTAGCCTGTACCAGCAATCTTCTAGCATAAAGCTGCATTTCCGCAACATGGGGGGGAGATGGAAAAATAGTGCTATAGCTGTGAACGGATCCCTCGAAGTTCAGTCCCGCACGCCCTTCAGCCCGGCGGGCGGACGGATTCGAAAAAAGGCTTGCGCTATCCCGGAGGCCACCAGGAACGGAACGGAGTCCGCGAGTCTCTTCCAGCCGTTGCCAAAGGATGGGGAGATTTTTGTAGGTTTTTCCTGGAAAAGGCTGAGGCCCAGGGTTCTCTTTTAGTGGGTTTACCCTCAGGTTTGACTTGAGGTGAGCCGGCGAATTTCTTTTGCGATAAATATCGAGGTCGAGGTGGGCCGGCGAATCAAACTTTGAGGATGTCTCTAGCGAAACACTTGCTTTTCAGAATTTGTTGAGGATGTCTTGAGCGAAACGCTTGTTTTGTGTTATAGATTGTCCTCTCCTGGGGACCTGAATTCAGAGGATCTCTGAAGTGAAATGCTTGTTTTCACGTGCCCAGGTCTTGAGGGTGTCTCGAGCGAGACGCTTGGTTTCACGCCTCCAGGCTGCCCAGACAGATGTCCAGCATGAGGATATGCTGAGGATGTCTCGAACCAGAGGCTTGTTTTCACGTGTCCAGGTCGCCCAGGCGGATGTCTAGCATGAGAATGTGTCCAGGAAGTCTCGATCGAGACGCTTGTTTGCACGTGTCCAGGTTGCCCAGGCGGATGTCTAGCACGAGGATGTGCTGATCATGTCTTGAGCGAAGCGCGTGTTCTCACGTATCCGGGTCGCCCAGGCACAGCACAGCCCTCGGCACGGTACATCAATATCGATAACCTTAGCATTGCAGCTTGGCATGTGGCCTGGCACGTTCCGCGGAGCGTCCCGTGGCGAGTCCCCCTGGCACGTCGCGCGGTGCACGTCCATTGGCACGTTCCGTAGCGCATCCCCTTGGCACGTCCCGCGGTGCGTGCCCATGGCACGTCCCCTGGCACGTTGCCTGGCGCGTCCCTTGGGACGTTCCGTGGCGCGTCCTCCTGGCATGTCCCCTCTGTCGATTAGTTCTGGGGCAGCTACCATCTGCTCAGGCAGCTCGAGCTTAAGATCCAGATCAGTTCGGTCAGGACTCGGATGCCAGGGAGGACTCGATCCACAACGCTATATAGAGCACAATCACGGCATGGTACATCGCGGTTCCGCACGGCCCAGCACAGCACAGCCGTCGGCACGGAACATCAAGATCGATACATTTAACCTTGCACCTTGGCACGTCCCTTGGTGCGTTCCGTGGCGAGTCCACCTGGCACGTCGCGCGGCGCGTCCCGTGGCACGTCTCGCGGCACGTCCATTGGCACGTTCCGTAGCGCGTCCCCTTGGCACGTCCCGCTGTGCGTCCCCATGGTACACCCTGGCACGTCGCCTGGCGTGTCCCTTGGGACGTTCCGTGGCGCGTCCTCCTGGCATGTCCCCTTTGTCGATTAGTTCTGGGGCAGCTACCATCTGCTCAGGCAGCTCGAGCTTAAGATCCAGATCAGTTCGGTCAGGACTCGGATGCCAGGGAGGACTCGATCCACAACGCTATATAGAGCACAATCACGGCATGGTACATCGCAGTTCAGCACGGCCCAGCACAGCACAGCCGTCGGCACGGAACATCAAGATCGATACATTTAACCTTGCACCTTGGCACGTCCCTTGGTGCGTTCCGTGGCGAGTCCACCTGGCACGTCGCGCGGCGCGTCCCGTGGCACGTCTCGCGGCACGTCCATTGGCACGTTCCGTAGCGCGTCCCCTTGGCACGTCCCGCTGTGCGTCCCCATGGTACGTCCCCTGGCACGTCGCCTGGCGTGTCCCTTGGGACGTTCCGTGGCGCGTCCTCCTGGCATGTCCCCTTTGTCGATTAGTTCTGGGGCAGCTACCATCTGCTCAGGCAGCTCGAGCTTAAGATCCAGATCAGTTCGGTCAGGACTCGGATGCCAGGGATGACTCGATCCACAACGCTATATAGAGCACAATCACGGCATGGCGCATCGCAGTTCAGCACGGCCCAGCACAGCACAGCCGTCGGCACAGATCATCAAGATCGATACATTCAGCATTGCATTTGCCCGTCGCCCAATCAGGTGTCTTTGAAGCGTTGCCATGCCTTACATTTCTATATTCCTTTCCGAATTCGTGGATCGATCATGTTGGGAATCCTCTTGCAGTTTTCTTGGGGCCATTTGTTTTGCTTTTGCTGCATCGCTGACCCGAACAGGGATGGTCGCGCGCCACACTCCTCTCCATCTCCCGCCCTTCCTCCCTCTGTCTGTCAGTCTGTCTGTTTGTCTGTCTGTGTGTCTGTGTGTGTGTGTGTGTGTGTCTGTCTGTCTGTCTGTCTGTCTGTGTGTCTGTGTGTCTGTATGTCTGTGTGTCTGTGTGCCTGTGTGCCTGTGTGTCTGTGTGTCTGTGTGTCTGTGTGTCTGTGTGTTTGTGAGTCAGTCAGTCAGTCAGTCAGTCTGTCTGTCGGTCTGTCTGTCTGTTTCTCTCTCTGTCTCTCTCTTCCTTGGTATACATAACATGACAATGTGCGTATATGTGCGCACGCATATATATATATATATATATGTATGTATGTAAGTAAGTAAGTACGTATGTAGGTCGGTATGTACATGTGTGCCTATGTTTGTATATACAGCAACATGTGTATAATCATACGTGTGTGGTACGGCGGAAAGCAGGAAGCTTCGTTGCGCCCACTTGGGGGGCCTTCTGGGCTCGCCTTGTCACCCACAGCAACGGGGGGGCCGGCGGATTATCCAGCTCGACCGTGAGTCTGGGCAGCTGAGGGTCTACCACATGCCGGACCCCAGCGCCGCCTGGACCGTGGCCTTCGAGGCCACGCTGCCCGAGGAGGTGCCCCCCAAGGCCGGAGGGGGGGGGGGCCTCCTGATGCTGCAGGTTTTTGCAGGATCCTGCAAGGCCCGACTGACCCCGGGCCTGGATTGACCCGGGCCAGTGGATCCCCGTCGATCCCGCTGCTGCTGCTGCTGCTCATCCTCGTGGACGTTTTGGGCGCCTCTGTTTTTCCGTGCGCCCTGTGGTGTAGTGTCGGGTCCTCATTTCGAGCACGGCGCTCCCCGCCTCCTCCCTCCGCCCATCCCTGCCCCTGCTCTCCGCGTTCTCGTGTCGGCACACTCCTCAAATGTTTCGTGGCTCCACATGGGGCTCTACCTGGGGCCCCAGTGGGTGCATCCATATGCAACTTCCCGCACATTCGGCATAGCCCTCACACGATTCGTGCCCGCATAGGGGGCTCCCCCTTCTCAGTCCCACCTGCCTTGCGGTACACACTTGCATGTGGTTGGGTCCTTCGTCTGGATCATTTTCTTGGGCTGGATCCATAGGCCCCCGAAGACTTCTGGGGACGTCCTCCCCCTTCCCCCCCCTCTTCCTCCCCTTCCCCCACGGCCTCTGGCATCCTTGGACGACTCGAGCAGAAATCGCGCCAGAGTTTTCAAATGATTGGTTTACCTATGCTCCTGTGTGTTAATGCATGTATGTTTCTCTCTCTCTGTCTCTCTCTCCCTCTCTCTTCCCTTTTCTAGTTCCCACTCGCCCACTCACTCACTACTCTCTCTATCTATTTATATGTATGTGTAAACTACGTACACTGGTTGTTAACACATGCGTATATACATACACCTGTACGTGTGTATGTCTGCATGTATGTACGCACGTATGCATGTATGGCGATAAGCACGCACGTACGTATGCATGCATGTATGTATGTATGCATGTCTATATATATGCATGCACATGTATATGTATATATCTTGTATGCAGGTGTACATACTTCAGTGTATATCTATATATATATACATATATGTATGTATACGCATCTTTACGTAATATACAAGCACACATGCCAACACACACATACATGCACACATACAACGACACACACATACAAACAATTAATCATGCAAACATGCAAACACACATACATACATACATACATGCACACATACATACATGCATGCATGCATACACATACATACATACATACATGCATGCATGCATGCATGCATGCATGCATACATACATACATACACACATATACATACATACGCACATACATACTTACACACATACTTACATACACACATACACATTCATACACATACATTCATACAACCATATATGCATACATCCACATATCCACACATCCACACATACACACATACATATGTACATACATACACACATACATACATACATACATGCATGCATGCATACATACATACATACAAACATACATACACACATACATGCATACATACATACATGCATGCATGCATGCATACACATACACATACACATACACATACACATACACATACACATACACATACACATACACATACACATACACATACACATACACATACACATACATATACATGCATGTATGCATGCATGCATGCAGACAGACACACAGACAGACAGACATATAGACAGACAAACAGACAGTCAGACGGACAGACGCTTGGCCTCCCACGTTGCCGGGGCGCCCCCCAGCCACGCCTCGAGGGCGCGCCCTAGCCGCGCCTGGGGAACGAGGGGCATGACGCGAAGAAGAGTTTGCACGCCGCCGAGCGCACAGGCAGAGGAGGAGGAGGAGGAGGAGGAGGAGGAGGAGGAGGAGGAGGAGGAGGAGGAGGAGGAGGAGGAGGAGGAGGAGGAGGAGGAGGAAGCGCCGCCCCGCGCGCGGCCGCAGCGCGGCCCAAGCCGCCGGTGGCGGCGCAAGGCCTGGCGGGCCGCTCCAGCGTCGGGTCCTGGCCCGCAGCCCGCGTCAGCTTCTGCGGGCGCGGCTGCTCGTCGCCCTCAGGGGTGGCGGCGCAAGCCCGCGGCAGAGCGGCGCTGCAGCCACCCGCGTCGCCGCGGCGCGCCGGCCTGCTGTTTCGCCGTCGCCAGCAGTCAGGGGGGCCAGCGCGGGCCCGCAGGGGCGCGCGGCCGGCGCTCCCAGCGCTGCGGCGCGCCGCCGGCGCCTCAGCGCAGGTCCGCGGCGGCGCGCAGCTGCCGCGCCAGCTCCCCCTGCAGGCCGCAGGCGAGCGCGCGGTGGGCGCGCGCGAGCTCGCGGGCCTGCTCGGCGTCGGGCAGGCGGCGCACCTCGGCTTTCAGCCAGAGGCGCGCTTCAGCGCCCAGTCGCCCCCCCGCCTCGAGGACGAACGGGGTGAGGCGCTCTCCGGGGTAGCGAGCGTGCTTGTCCCGCTCCCCGCGCCGGCTCGCCTCGCCGTCGTGGCGGGCCGCGACCCGCTGCTCCGCTGGGGTGCCCGCAGCGGGGTGTCGCACGGACACGTCCAGCCAGCGGCGGCCGTCCTCGTCCTGGTACTCCAGATCGAGAACGGCGCGCTTCGTCTCCCCGGCGTGGCCTGGCCGCGGCCTGTCCCGGAGCGGGACGCGCTGCTCGTAGAGCGTTTCCTCGTGCCTCCAGCGCCGGAGCAGCCCGCCGAGCCGCCTGGCCAGTCTGCCGTGCCTGCGCCTCACCCCGTCTCCGTTCTGGCAGGTGGCGCTGTGGTAGCCGACAGACAGACAGACAGACAGTCAGACAGACCGACTGAGACAGACAGACTGAGACAGACAGACTGACTGAGACAGACAGACAGACAGACAGACAGACAGACAGACAGACAGACAGACAGACAGACAGACAGACAGACAGACAGACAGACAGACAGACAGACAGACAGACAGACAGACAGACAGATAGACAGACAGACAGACAGACAGACAGACAGACACGCATATACACACGCCTGTAACGGCGCACTGGGCCCGGACGCCCGGGGCCGGGCCCCCGACCGCTGCCCCAGGCCCTGCCAGCGCGCCAAGGGGCCCTCCAAGATCGCCCGAAGACGGCTCGGGATCGCCTGCAAACGAGTTTCGAGACCGCCAAAACTGCCCATGACGACGGCCCCCAGACGGCCCAAGAGGCTTCCAAGACGCCCCAAGAGGCCTCCAAGAGCTCCAAGAAGCCTCCAAAGAGGGCCCCAAGAGCCCAAAATCATTGATATTTGAAGGTTTTTGGCTTTTTCGCTTTTTCGGTTTCCTGACGCTCCAAGACGGCCCTAGAGGCACCAACGATCGCTCCAAGACGGCCCAAGAGGCCTCCAAGAGGGTCCTAAAACGGCTCAAGAGGCTTCCAAGACGACCTAAGCGGCCTCCAAGACCGCCCAAGAGGCTCCAGAGACAGTTCCAAGAGGGGGCTCAAATGTGGGGCTCGAGCGGACATTCCGAGCCCTCGGCCCCGAGGGGCCCCCAGGAGGCACCAACAGGCCCCCAAGAGGCCCCAAGAGGCCCCCAAACTGCCCCCAAGATGCCCCCGAGAGCGCTCCCAAGAGGCCCAAGGAGGCCTCCAAGACGCCCTGTGCCCCCCCGGCCAGGCCCTCGACTACATATGGGAACCGTAGGGCTCCGAGACGGTCCAAGAGTGTTGTCAGACGTTTCCGAATCGTCTGGGCCTTCAGGGCACCCTTTCGTGGCCACAGCTGGACACATTCAGAAGTTCAAGCCCGAACGCCCCCCGGCGGTTTCGGGAGGGCCAGCCGTCCCACCAGCTGTTCATTCTCATCTTTCTCCCCCCGTTCTTCCTCCTCGTTCTCATCATCGTCCTCCAAGCGTGGGTGCTGTCGGGGGAGGGGCCCAGATGGCTGCCACCAGTTGGCATGGGCGCCCCTGGTCTCCTCAGTGGGGCTCCGAGAGCTTCAGACGGCTCAAGATGCCCCCATAGGGGGCCACTTGCGAACCCTACCCCTACCCCCCACGATTTCTGAGGGGCAGGGTGGGGTTCACTTTATTCAGGAGCTCCCGAGCGAAGTGAACCCCACCCTCCCCCTCAGAAATCGTGGGGGGCAGGGGTGGGGTTCGCAAGGGGCCCCCTACCCCAGACTGGCCCGAGACCGCCTTGCTGGGTTCCAGCAGATCGGAGGCGGGCCCAGAGCGCTTCAACATGGCCCCAGAGGCTTCCGCGAGCCTCCAATCAGGAGGGAAACAAACACACAGACACAATTAATCGTCGACTCCCAGGAAAATATGGGAATTGGGCGGGAAGACAAAAACCCAGACAATATGGAAAAATATGGAGAATCATCTTATTTGTGTGTATTCATTTGTGTGTCCTCGGGCCCCTTGATCCAAGTCGGCACAGGCGACCTCGCAAGAGTGCTCACGACGCTTTCAAGAGAATCCGAAAGACGGCTCAATGAAGCCCCAAGGCGGGCCCACGAAGGGCCTACGAGAGGGGGCAAGAACGAGCTCTTCGAGGTTGCCGCCCCAAGAAAGGCCCAGGTCGCCCCAAGAGGCCCAAGCGACGCCTGAAGACTTGTTTCCCGGTGGCCCCAGGACGCAGGCAGCAAAACACAAGGCAATTTCGGGCTCTCTATTCAAGAAGAAAGGGTGCGTAAGTTAAGGCCCCCCCATCGGAGGCTCCAACATGGCGTCTTGGGGCTGTCTTGGGGCGCTGTTGGGGCTCTCTTTGGTGCCCTTGGGGCCGTATCGGAGCCCTCTTGGGTCTCTCTTGGGGCTCTCTTGGGACATCCTGGGTCCATCTTGAGGCTTCCGAGGCCCATCGGAACCGAAAAGGCGAGAAGGCACATATCCGTAAGGGCTTCGCCCCCTGCCGCCGGCCCCCTCTCTCGGAGAATGGGCCATGGAAGAGCTAAGTCATGAGGCTTTGGCGCTTTCGTGCAGCAGTATCGGAACTTCATGCGAGGCCGATTCGCAATCGGCAAAACCAACTGATCACAAGAGGGGTTACCACACAGGGCGATTGGTAAGACGTGTATGGTTTACGAGCTTGGTTACCACACCTTGGGATTAAAGGGCCGAGGGAGTACTCGCAGTTTGGGTTACCACGCCTTGCGATTGATGTGCGTGAGGGGTGGCACCGAATTTCAGAAACCGAATTTCAGAAATGTGGCAAATCCCCTGTGTTTTTGGACCCTGACCCCGCGGATCTGCGTGAGGGGTGGCACCGAATTTCAGAAATGTGGCAAATCCCCTGTGTTTTTGGACCCTGACCCCGCGGATCTGCGTGAGGGGTGGCACCGAATTTCAGAAATGTGGCAAATCCCCTGTGTTTTTGGACCCTGACCCCGCGGATCTGCGTGAGGGGTGGCACCGAATTTCAGAAATGTGGCAAATCCCATGTGTTTTTGGACCCTGACCCCGCGGATCTGCGTGAGGGGTGGCACCGAATTTCAGAAATGTGGCAAATCCCCTTGTGTTTTTGGACCCTGACCCCGCGGATCTGCGTGAGGGGTGGCACCGAATTTCAGAAATGTGGTGTTTTTGGACCCTGAATCCGTGAGGGGTGGCATTTCAGAAATGTTTTTGGACCCTGACCCCGCGGATCTGCGTGAGGGGTGGCACCGAATTTCAGAAATGTGGCAAATCCCTTGTGTTTTTGGACCCTGACCCCGCGGATCTGCGTGAGGGGTGGCACCGAATTTCAGAAATGTGGCAAATCCCCTGTGTTTTTGGACCCTGACCCCGCGGATCTGCGTGAGGGGTGTCGATTTCGAGCCCCCCCAGCAATTCAGACAACGCGCCCAGGGGTGTAAAAAATCCCGTTTGGGCCTCCCCCCCCCTCGCGCGGTCAATCAATTAGTTACAGTAACCAGCAAGAAGCAGAACTGTAACACTGGAAACTACAAGCTACAACTGGTACAGGAAACTGCGAATCACGGTCCTACAGCCTGGTGGCCCCACAAGGGGGCCGGCGGATTACAACATATCCCTCAGCTTTCGGAGCCATGCTTGCCTCTCGGGGGGCTCCTTGGAGGGCTCGGAGGGCACTTGAAACCGTCTTGGGGCCGTTTTGGGGCCTCTTGGATGTGCGTCGGAGGCTATCTTGAGCCATCACGAGTTATCTGGGGCCATCTTGGGGAGGCCATCTTGGGGTCCCGTAGGCCCTCCTTGAACCATCTTGGGCGATCCTGGGGGCCCAACGCCTCGCGAACCACCTACGCCAAAAGGGCTGGTGGGATTCAGAGGGGGGCTTTCGAGGGGTATCCGCGGTGAGGGGGCGGGATCGGCCCTGGAAACCATCATATGAAGAAACTCTGCCAGACAACGTAAGAGTGTTCTAACACGCCTCAACGTGTCTCTGGCACGGCGATTGCCTGCTCTCTCTTTCTGTTTCGGTCTCTATCTCTGTCTGTTTCTTTCTCTCCCTGTTTCTCTGTATGTGTATCTGTCTTTCTCTCTGTCAGTCTGTCCGGATGGATGGATGGATGTATTGATGTATATGTCCCTGTGCATAATTACATGTGTGTGCCTGTCTCTGTCTCTGCCTCTTCTTGGTCTGCGTCTCCGTCTTCTCCCCTACTCTGTCTCTGCCACTGTCTCAATCTCCGCCTCTGCCTGCCTGCCTGCTTGTTTGTTTGTTTGTTTGTCTCTTTTTTGTTTTCTCCCTCTCTCTCTCTCGCTCTCTCCGCTCTCCCTCTCCCCCTCCGCCCGCCGCCGCAGGAAGAGGGCCTGTGCCTCTCGCGGGGGGCTGAGCTCTGCGTCTTCTACGCCCAGGACCCGCCGCGGGCGAAGAGCCGTGAGCGTGCACGGGAGTCGCTGGAATTCTCGCGCCCCATGGTGAGGACGAGGCGGGAGAGGGGGGAGGAGGAGGAGGAGGAGGAGGAGGAGGTGGAGGAGGAGGAGGAGGAGGAGTCGGAGGAGGAGGAGGAGGACCAGTACCGATTCACGAGATTGCAATAAACCCTCCTTCGAAGTTCCCTCTCCATAGGCCCCATACGAGGATTCATCTTCACTGAGGGAAGTGCCCTGTTTGAAAACAGCTGTTCGAAACTCCTGAGCTGCGTCAGGAACTATGCCTGCGACGTCAATACCGCGAATCAACGTAACTGCTGCGCCCTGTCAATCCGACATGTCCCAAAACACCATTTCTGGAATGCTAGCCACGAGAATCCTTGAAACTGCTGTGAACTCTGAAGACTACTGTGTGCGGTAATAATTCGAGGGCGACGTCTTGAAAACGGACCGCCCTCCATCCATGCAACTGTTGTAATATTTGACACAAAGGTGTGCGGCGCAACGTTGAGAGCCACATCTTGAAACGGCCCGCCCTCCATCTGTGAAGCTCTGGCAACTTTTTACAAATAATGTGCGCAGTGCTACGGCGAGAGCCACATGTTGAAAACCACCCGCCCTCCATCCATGACGCTCTGTCAACTTCTTACAGCGAATGTGCGCGTCGCTCGATAACCATAGTTTGAAAGCCATATGCCCTCCATCCCGGAAGCTCTTGCCTCTTATAAAACGAATGTGCACGGCGCTTAGGCGATAGCCATATGTTGGAAGCCACCTGCTCTCAATCCGTGAAGCTCTTGCAACTGTTTCAGACGAAGGTGCACGGCGCTAGGGCGAGAGCCACATTATGAGAACGACCCAGTCTCCATATGGGAAGCTCTTGCACATTCTCTGCTTACGGACCATACGTGGTGAGGAAGTCTCAGGCGAAACGCCCGGCCCGCCCTACCGACGTTCCCCGGAAAAGGAATGGAGGAGGAGGGGAATGTAAGACAGTGCAGGTGCTTTGGGGATGAGTCTCCGATCCCAGCCACGGCGGAGGAAATACAACATACGATATCCCTGCGATGGGGTTGTGGATGTAGGGCCTGGGATCATGCCGAGGCCTGCCTGGGTGCCCTGTTGGAGCAGGAGGGGGAGGAAGGGGAGGAGGAAGAGGAGGAGGAGGAGGAGGAGGAGGAGGAGGAGGAGGAGGAGGAGGAGGAGGAGGAGGAGGGGGAGGTGCAGGAGGAGGAGGAGGAGAAGGAGGAGGGGGAAGTGCAGGAGGAGGAGGAGGAGGAGGACCAGTGTAAACCCAAGAGTCATCAACTATCTTGGAGTTACCTCTCCCTCCAAGCTCCTCTTCATAGGCCCCTTCAACGGTTCAGTTCCATTGAGGGAACTGCCTCGTTGGAAGACAACCGTTTGAAGATCCTGAAGCATGCCAAAACATTGTTCTCGGGATTTCAACGCCACAGTTCAACCTGACTGCCGCGTCTTGACCATCTGGAATCGTGCCATAACATCGTTTTTGGGATTTTACACCGCGAATCAGCATAACTGCTTGCACCCGCATAGTCCAGAATCCTTCCAACGTGCTATTTCTGGTACGTTGATCATGGGAATCCGTGAAGCTCTTGCAATGTTTTAAACATGTGCGCGGTGCTAAGGCGAGAGCCACATTTTGAACAGGAAACGCCTTCAATCCGTGAAACCCTTGAACAGTTTTTAACACGAATGTGCGCGGCGCTCAGGCGAGAGCCACACTTTGAAAAGGAACCGCCCTCAATCCGTGACACGCCTGCAACATTTAAAAACGAATGTGCGCGGCGCCAAGGAGAGAGCCACGTTTTGAAAAGGAACCGCCCTCAATCCGTGAAACGCCTGCAAAGTTTAAAAGCGAATGTGCGCGGCGCCAAGGAGAGAGCCACATTTTCAAATGGAACCGCCCTTAAGCTTTGGTAATTTTTTACACGAATGCACGCGCCGCTAAGGCAGCTTCGAAGCTACTTTTCTTCTTTGGCTCTCGGCGCCCCTTTGGTTTTCGGCGTACTCGTGGTTTTGTGCGTCTCTTTGGTTTTCGGCGCTTCTTTGGTTTTCGGCGTGCCTTTGGTTTTCGGCGCCCCTTTGGTTTTCGGCGCTCCTTTGGTTTTTGGCGCCCTCTTGGTTTTCGGCGCCCTTTTGGTTTTCGGCGCCCCATTGGTTTTCGGCGCTCCTTTGGTTGTCGGCGTGCCTGTGGATTTCGGCGCTCCTTAGGCTTTCGGCGCCTCTTTGGTTTTCTGCGCACCCTTTTGTTTTCGGCGCATCGTTGGTTTTCGGCGTCCTATTGGGTTGTGGCGTCCCTGTGGTTTTCGACGCCCTCTTGGTTGTCGGTGCCCTTTTGGTTTTCGGCGCTCCTGTGGTTTTCGGCGCCCTTCTTGTTTTTGGCGCTCTTTAGTTTTCGGCGCCCCTTTGATTTCTGTCGCCCTTCGGCTTTCGGCGCGCCTTTAGTTTTGGAGCACTTTGGTGTTCGACGCCCTTCTGCTTCTCTGCGTTCCTTTTTTGTTTGTTTCGATGCCCTCATGGTTTTCGGCGCCCCTTTGGTTTTCGGCGCCTCTTTGGTTTTCGGCGCTCCTTTGGTTTTCGGTGCCTCTGCGGTTTTCGGCGCTCCTTCGGTCTTCGGAGCTTCTGTTGATTTCGGCGCCCCATTGGGTTTCGGCGCCCCTTTGGTCGGCGCTGCTCCTGTTTTCGGCGCTCTTTTGGTTTTCGGCGCATCTTTGATTTTCGGCGCCCCCCGCTGGTTGTCGGATACATGTTTGGTTTTCGGCACCTCTTTGGTTTTCGGCGCTTTTTTTTTCCGGCGCCTTTTGGATTTCGGCGCTCCTTTGGTTTTCGGCGTACTTGTGGTGTTCGGCGCTTCTTAGGTTTTCGGCGCCCTTTCGGTTGTCCGCGCCCTTGTGGTTTTCGGCGTTTGTTTGTTTTCGGTGCTCCTTTGGTTTTCGGCGCTCCTGTGATTTTTGGCGCCCTTTTCGGCACCCCTTTATGGAGGGGTGGGGGTGGGGGGCTTCCGGCAGAGGGGGTTCAAAGGGGGGGAAGGTAGCTAAGCCCCCCCCTCTTTGGAAAGGGGGGAGCGGGGGGTAGCTTCCAGAGCGCGAAAGGGGGATGGGGGGTTAGCTTCCGAGGGGCGGACAAAAAGGGGGAAAGGGAGGGGGGGGGGGCTTCGGGCAGGGGAGGTCCAATGGGGGTGGGTAGCTAAGGGGGGACCCACCCTCCCTTTGGGAGTGTTCCACGGGCCGCTCTTTCGAATATCGGTATCGGTGCCTTTTGTCCCCCCCAAGGTCGCGCGCGCGCGGGCAGGCTGCATGTCGTAGGTAGTGCTTCGCAAGGCCACCGCGTGAGGTCACCGTGCCGTCTTTCGTGAGATCTCCTCCTGTTCTCGCCGCTCGTGTTGTTAGAGATTCTGGTCAGTGCGCACCCCAGGAGAGGACTGGCCAGTGGCGAACGCGAATGGTGGCTCAGATCGGCTGCGTGTACAGCCGCACCGAGGCAGAAGACCGAGGTCGGTTCGGGGCGGGTGCCCTGGTGTTCTTCGTGCTTGTTGGCTGCTCTGTTTGTCTTGGGCGACGGAGGGTCTATGTTCTTGAGGGATGTTCTTCTGGCTTGTCACCACCCACCAAACCACCCCAACCCAACCCGAAGGCTCAGATTGACCCTCGATTTTTAGTTGGGGGGGTCGGGAAACATCGAAAAAACACGTGTGGAGCCCTTACCCCCCCAACCCGAAATTCGGGTCTTCGGGTTGGGTTGGGGTGGTCTGGTAGGTAGTCAGCTTGGGTACGACTGCAAGAGCGATACTTATCGGGGCCGGAATTGATGCATGACCACCGCCTCGAGGATCCGTTTTCGGGGACCTCGGCAGGCGGGGGATATGGACAGATTCGGGCCCCTCCTCCTCCTCCTCCTCCTCCTCCTCCTCCTCCTCCTCCTCCTCCTCCTCCTCCCGGGCGCCAAGATATATCCAGATCCGCCGCCCGCCGGGGCACCAGGACGTCGTTTCCCAGGCGGTGGATATGGAGAAATCCCAGCCTCGCATACTCTGGATGGGGTATTTCATGTCGCGGGTGGACAGAACCCCCCACCCTGACATGTCGATTCGTGAATTGTTCGTTTTCGCTTCTCGAGGGGGCGCCGCGGCCGTCATTGTCCAGGCTTGTGCGCCCGCCAGGGTTGGGGCCAGAGGTCGTTTTCACTGAAGCACGTTTTGCTGAAGGGGTTTTTGTCCATCCCCGAGGTATTTATCAAGGGGGGGGGATTAACCTCCCGACTGAGCTTGCCCGATCCCGCCCCCTCCGTCCTCCTCCCCCTCCTCCTTCTCCTCCTCCTCCTCCTCCTCCTCCTCCTCCTCCTCTTCCTCGAACCCCCCTCCATCCGTGCCGACAGCACGTGCCCAACCCCCCCAGAGGATTCAAAGGGGTGGCGATTCTTGTCCCATCCGCAGTAGAGTGGTCGATCCTCGATCCCTCGACCTCCACGAGGACCGTACTGGCAGGGCGCTGAAAAAGGGACCACTCCGAGCTCGGGGGGGGGGCCCTCGTCTCCGGGCCGTGCCGCAGATTCAGGCTGGGGATCCTATGCGTGGCCGAGGCTCGCCGTGGCCAGAACATCCCCCTTTGTTCGGCGTCGCCCCAACGTGCTGATTCTATGGTGTGCGACGCCCCCAAGGCGTCGACGCGCGCGCCGAGAAGTCGTCCTGGCTCTGTGGCGGGGCGCTTTCTGGCCGTACCCCTCGGGGAAAACTGCGCACCTGGTGGATGGCGATGCTACATCGCAGGCCTAGAGATTGACACCAACACCAATTTCGGCGGTGTGCCTCCACCGAGGGATGAAGATCCCGATCTCGGTGATGGTGGTAATAATCTGGCTTCCAAGGTGGCCAAAAGATTACCACCAACACCGAAATCTAGGATCATCTTCCCCCTGTGGAGGCAACCCCCCTGTGTTGGTGTTGGTGCCCATTTACAGGCCTCCAACTACATGCTTGGGTCGGTCGCACGCACGCCTCCAAGGAGGACACACACAAGGCTGGCATGTCCGTGTGCGCCCCAGAGGGGGGGCCTGTTGGCAGCCCGCACGGGACGCGCCCCCTGCGCACGCCGCCCCCGTCCTGCCCTGTCCCCCCTTGGCATCGCTCGGACGTGTGCGTTTTGTCCTCGGCGAGGATCATCGAGGAGCATCCTTGATCATTTGGCGAAAAACCACGCACGAAACCGAAAAAAACACAGGGAATGGACGTCCGAGCGATGGCCAGCCCCTGCGCCGGCCGGGAGGACCGAAGCCCACACGTGGCCGCGGTGGAGCCAAAGAGCGCCGAGGCGGAGGGCGCGTGCAGGGTGTTCAGGACCCGCGTGCCTCGCTCCTCCGCTCCCCCCCGCTCCTCCCCCCCCCTCCCTGCCCTTCGCTCTCTTTTCAAGTTTTCTTGGGGGTTTGGCCGTTTTTTTTAAATCAATTTTGTCGTTTTCTCTGTCCCCGGGAATAATATTGTTTTTAACTGTCGGGCCTCGGAAACCTCCCAAAAACCACCCAGGTTCCCTCCCCCTCCCCGGGATCCGGGGGGGGGGGGGGGACCCCCCCCGAGCAAAAAACCCCAACTCGGGTTTTTCCTGGGGGGTTTCCTGGGGGGGGGGGGGCTTCCAGGGGACTCCCGCACCGGGATCTCCTTCGCTCCGTCGGCCTCGCTGGCGACCTGGCCTGCGCTACGTCGGCCCCGCCGCCACGCCGAGAGCAAGGCGTCCCGGCAGAGCCCCCGCCTGCGGCGGGCAGTCCGACGCGCAGGCGGGCCCCGTGCCGCTCGGATGCGCCCCGCCGCCGCCGCCGCCGCCGACCACGAACCTCCTCGAGGCCGCTCGCTCGCTCCTCCTCCCCAGGCCAGCCACAACTGGGGGAGCTGTGTTCCTTACCCCCCTGGGGAGCCCATCGATTTCGACACCCCTCTCGAGAGATCGTCGATGCGATGGGTTCCCCCAGGGGGGTGAGGACCACAGCTCCCCCAGTTATGGCTGGTCGGCTCCCCCCCTCCCGTCCCTCTCTCGGGACGTCTGAGTCGGCGCCGCCCAATCATACGAATACGATCACGAACCTCCTCGAGGCCGCTCGCTCCTCCCTTCCTCCCCTCCCGTCCCTCTCTCGGGACGTCTGAGTCGGCGCCGCCCAATCATACGAATACGATCACGAACCTCCTTGAGGCCGCTCGCTCCTCCTTCCTTCCTCCCCTCCCGTCCCTCTCCCGGGACGTCCGAATCGGCGCCGCCCAATCATACGAAGACGAGGTGCGCGCCCCTCCCCGAAGGGGCGGCGCCCGCGCTGGGAGATCTTATAGAGTACAGGCTCCGTGGCGGGCGCTTTCTGGCCATGCCGCTCGGGAGACGATATGCTACAGTATGGTTGTACTGTATGTTCGGGTCGGACGCACGTCCCCAAGGAGAACATGTAGTACTTCAGTATCGTTCAACCGGCTCCCATCCCCATCCTCATCCCCTTCGAGATCCCCACCAAATTACCACCCCCGTTGGGGATACACCCCTGGAAACCCGAAGTGAACGGCCTACATCCCCATCTGGGGCGGGGGGGGGGGCAAATCGGCCAGCGGGGCCCAGGCCACGCCGCTGGGGGTGGGGGTCGGATAAACGATGCTCAGTGCTGGTATGCCCTTGTGTGCCCCACTGCAGGCTCTCGTGCTGCCCTGGGGCCGTCCCGGGCCGTCTGGAGCCCCCCCCGCCGTGTGGCGGGCGTCGGAGCGCGCTGCGGGCAGGCGCTGCGGGGAGGAGGCGCGGCGGGGAGGAGGCGCGGCGGGGAGGCGCTGCGGAGGGGGGGGGGGGGGGAGGCGCTGCGGGGAGCGCGTCGGGGCGGCGTCGAGGCTCCCGGGGGCGTCCAGGAGGGCTCCTGGGTGCATTCGGGGGGGGGGCTTCTTGGGGGGGCCTCATCGGGCGCCTCCTGGGGCCGTACGGTCGAAACCGATGGTCCAGACCCGTCAGATTCCCATGGGTACCCCTGCATCCCGGCCTCTTCGTCTTTCACCCGTGACCGCTTTCGACGGCGAGCCCCGCCCGACAAGAAGTTTCGCCGCGGACGTCCGAGGGACCTGCATCCTTGTCGCGCATCTTTACCATCCTCGGGGGCGGAAAAGAGCGGGGTGATGACTAGGGGGGGGTGGATATCATGGCGGGGGGCATGATACTTCCCCAGACTTCATGGCGCCTCTTCTTATTTCATTACGTCCCTGGCCCCCCCGCTGGGCCGCGCACATGCCGCCGGTCATGATTTGCACCCCCCCCCTCTTGGACCTCCCCCCTCTTGGCCGCTCCCGACATCCGTTTCGACTGTGCTGTACACCTTAGGCGATGCTTAAGAAAACTTGAGTTTTCGGCCAGAGTCTCGATCATTCTTAATGTTTCAATGGGAATCCCAAGATTGTCATGGACATGCTGGTTTTTGTTCAAATTCTGAGACTATGAATTTCTTAACCCATGATTTCTTAAGCATTTCGCAGGGTGTACCTATTCGTGCCTTCTGGGCGCCGTCCTCCGGTGGTCGGCGGCGCCGGCCGCGCGGCCGCGGGGCGCCGCCCGCCGCCCGAGAGCCGTGCGGGGAGACGCGTCCGCCCGCGGCGGCGGCCGGGTGGCCCCGGGGAGGAGCTCACCGCCCACCAAACCACCCCAACCCAACCCGAAGGCTTCGATTTGCCCTCCATTTCCGGTGGGGGGGGGATCGGGGAACATCGAAGAAACACATGGTCCCCGTACCCCTCCCAACCCGAAATTCGGGTCAAATTCGGGTCTTCGGGTTGGGTTGGGGTGGTCTGGTAGGTAGTCAGGAGCCCGCGCGGCCAGCGGAGGCAACCGCGGGTGCGGGCGTCCTGGCCCCCGCGGTCGCCGTCTTTGCGCTTCGGCGAGCTCGAGGGGGGTGGCCACGTGGAGGGTATGTTTTTTTCGGGAGCGACGAAAGGGCGTACACGCACATGAATCCACGCTGGATCCGAGAGTACGCCTTGCGCAAGTGTTCGCATAACGCGGCCGGTCTCGCGGATCGAGGGGCCGTGTTCATGTACATAGCTGGGCGCGTACGTCCTTTGTGGGCTCCCTATTTTTGTCAGGGACGCGTGAGCGGCGCAACAGACAGCGGGGCCGCCTGTGCCGACATCGGCGCGCAGGCTGCCCACGCGAGGGTCGCGCGTGAGAGCGCCCTCGCCTCTGGTGCGGCGCGCCGCGCCGGCGGCCCGCGTAAGCCGCCGCGTGGGGCCGTCGCGTCCTCTCGCGTGCGGCCCGCTTGCCTCGCCTCGAGAGGGCCTGGCCGCTGGCCTGCCCTCCCCCGCTGCATCTCGAAGGCATCGAGGGCAGGCGCCGGTGGGCGCTCGGGAAGGCGCAGGAGGGGAAAGACACACACACACACAGACACAATTCATCGTCCACTCCCAGGAAAATCTGGGGAACTATGGGAAGTGTGGGGGGGAAGACAAAAGCCCAGAAGATATAAGGAAATCTGGGGAGTCTTTTTTGTTTGTGTGTATTTACTTGTGTGTCCCAGGGCCCCTTCATAAGGCGCCCCTCGCCACGGCCGGGGGGCAGCTCGCAGGGCGACGAGGTCTGTGCAGATCCACAGCCGCCGGCCGGGCCGCTGTCCCGGGCCCAGGAGCGGTGCACTGGAGCAGCGGCGGAGCGTCCTGGCTCGCCCGTGCAGGCCTGGCGCTGTGGAGGACGATCAGCGGAGAGAAGCATGCTGCCGAATCATGTCCAGGTGTCTAAGACATGTGCTAAGCAGTTTTTGTACACCTTAAAACCGTGCTCAAAACATGTTTAGACAGTTTGAAATCCTGTTGGGGCTGTTAGGGTGCCTGGTCGTGGCATCCGCAAGCCTAGCAGAGAATGTTCTAGGAACCCTATGCGGTTTGCGCCAACTGTTCTCAGAACATTTCCGGCTGATGCTGTCGTGCTTTATCACATCGGGATACTATGTTCTAAGAGCACGGTTTCTGTTCTGAACACGCACTTCTGGGTTCTAAAAACATGTCGTGGTAGGCCTGTAGGAATGCCAGGACGGTCGGCCCCTGCTCAGTGTACACTGTATACTCCCCGTGGCTTTGCAAGGGAGGCACACGCACCGCTCCCGGGCCCAGGATGAGCTCGGCCAGCGGCGTTGGACGTGCATGGAGCTCGTCGCTCTAGCTTGAAGTCGGGCCTGTCCCTCTACGGGGAGTATTCAAGAATAGTCAAACAGTAGTCTGGGGACGATTTTTTGACTCTTCTCAAGCATTTTTTGAATATGCTTGAGTGTTTTTTTTTATTTCTCGCCCAAAATTCCCCCTGAAGGGGGACAGGTCCGACCTAACCCCTAGCTCGGGCAACTGGTGCGGTCGGACTGGTTTTGAGGATTTGGGGGCGGGGTTGGGCCAGAGGGGGGCCAGTCGTGGCAGCGCCAGTGGGCCTTCGGGGGAGCCCCTCGCCGCCGCGGCTGGCTGCTGCTCGAGCAGCCAGTGCGCTTGGATCCCGGGAGGGGCCAGGGGATCGATTTTGAGCAGCCGTTGTTTTAATTCGCCCTGATCCGATTGCGGAGGGGGTTCCTTCGGCTGTTATCAAATGTGTGTGTGATGTTTTTTTTTTTTGGCTTGCCATTCATTGGGAGGAGGCTGCGAGAAGTAGGTTGGCTGTTGGTTGTATGTCCTTCTGTGGTTTTCTTTACGTGCATTTGTAATGGGGGGCGCTGCGGGATTCAAACTGGGCTCGAGGGAGCCCTCCGCTTGCCTCCCTCTTCTTCTTTTCCTTCTTCCTTTTCTTCTTCCTTCCCTTTCCTTCTTCTTTTCCTTCTTCCTCCTTTTCCTTCTTCCTCCTCCTTCTTCTTTTCCTTTTCCTCCCTGTTCTTACTTTCCTTCTTCCTCGTCCTCCCCATCCTCCTCCTCCCGCTGCCTGCCCCCCTCCCTCCTCCTCCTCCTCCCTCTCCCGCTGCCTGCCTCCCCTCCCTCTGGAAGGCGCGTTCGACTCGGCGAGGCGTCCCTTCGTTCATTCTCCCTCCTCCCCCTTCTCTAAAACGACGCGAAGATCGGGACAACATCGGATCGGGATAACTCGAAATCTCTGAGAATCGGCGGGTTTGGAGGATGTATTGGGCGCCGCGGCCGCTCCAGAGCGTTCCGGAACGCTCTGAGAGCGCTCCGGAACGCTCTGAAGCGATTTATCCCGATCCTAGCCCTGTTTTATCCTCTTCAGCGTGCATCATTCCAAGTAAGCCCCCTGCCTCTGAGAGGGTGTGAGAAGGGGGAGGTGGTTGTGGATGGGTGGGCAATTATTGGCAGAGATGAGGGGTTCAGTGGAGATGACGAGGATGATGATAACGACGATGGTGGCGACGGTGGC